GATTGAGAGTCATACTTACATTAATTCTGTAATCTGTGACTCTCCCCCCACACCCCTTACTGATTGAGGGTCATACTAACATTAATTCTGTAATCTGTGACTCTCCCCCCACACCCCTCACTGATTGAGGATCATACTAACATTAATTCTGTAATCTGTGACTCTCCCCCCACACCCCTCACTGATTGAGGGTCATACTAACATTAATTCTGTAATCTGTGACTCTCCCCCCACACCCCTCACTGATTGAGGGTCATACTAACATTAATTCTGTAATCTGTCACTCTCCCCCCACACCCCTCACTGATTGAGGGTTATACTAACATTAATTCTGTAATCTGTGACTCTCCCCCCACACCCCTCACTGATTGAGGGTCATACTAACATTAATTCTGTAATCTGTGACTCTCCCCCCACACCCCTCACTGATTGAGGGTCATACTAACATTAATTCTGTAATCTGTGACTCTCCCCCCACACCCCTCACTGATTGAGGGTCATACAAACATTAATTCTGTAATCTGTGACTCTCCCCCCACACCCCTCGCTGATTGAGGTTCATACTAACATTATTTCTGTAATCCGTGACTTTCCCCCCACACCCCTTACTGATTGAGGGTCATACTAACATTAATTCTGTAATCTGTGACTCTCCCCCCACACCCCTCACTGATTGAGGGTCATACAGTACCCGCATCGTTATTCTTTACAATTCTATCGTGTTCTATCGTGCGTGTATCCTATCGTATCGTGCGTGTATCCTATCGTATCGTGCGTGTATCCTATCGTATCGTGTTTTCCGTTTATCAGGTTTTGCGTTTTCTATCGTGTTTTCCGTTTATCGTGTTTTGCGTTTATCGTGTAGATCGTTTATCAGGTTCTATCGTGTATCGTGTTTTGCGTTTATCGTGTATATTCGGAAACCCTCGCTTTTTATCTTTACTATGTAAAGAAACTACTGAGCTATTTCGAGTTTCTTTTGCGTTTTGTTAATAAAAATAAGATTAATTCAACAATTCATCAATATCAATATAAGAAATATGAAAGTGTAGAAGAAAAAAAAATTAATCGCGTATTTCATGAATGAATAAATTGATTTATTAATAAATAATTAATTAAATAAAAAATATAATTATATCATGGCAAAGCAGAGAGTAATTGTCAAAATTTAAACAGTAACTCTATTTTTCGGAAATGAAATTATAAGTAGATAGATCAACTGGTCTATTTCTTTAAAAAATAATTTATTGAATTGTACGATTAATGTTGTCAAAATTAAATATTATCAATATGATTTTCTCAAATGAATCGGAGTTATCGGAGAAACATTTTTGGTAAACTACGATGTTCGCGTAGACAAAAAGCAAATAAATAAATAATAAGCAGCATATTGAAATGTATCTTTTTATCATGCAATATTCTGTTTTTCCTTGTTATCGTCTTATAACGTTAGAAATATGTTTACGCGTCTGACCTGCATGTATGCACAATTATTTAAGGTCTTGATGTTACAAATATAATATAACATAAGACAATGATCCAGATGATTTTAACAACGATTTTGGTCGTATACGTTCAAATTTTAAATTTCTTTTTTTAAAGCTTATTATAAATTCCTCTACATATGTCTAAATAAATAAAAGAAATCAAAATCATAAAATAAAATCAATGAAAATATTCTATCCAATTTATCACACCATGGCTGTTACTATAAAATAGAAGATTTTGATTAATTTTATCTGGCGTTAGATAACATAAAAATAATATAACTATACATGTACAGGGGAAAACATGAAGTTTTTTTAAAAGCTTACCTTTTCGGCGTGGAATTAAACTCAAAATATAATCCATCGGGATGCCAAAAATCAAAATAAATCGAAGACCTTTCCTTACAAGAAAACTGACACGTATGTGTCGCTCTCTAATTAGCACACTGTCTTCCTGTGCGGTCAACCGCCCCCTCCCCCTTCTCCCCTAGCTGACACCTCGGCCCGTGTGTGTGTGATCGCCGTCAACATACCTGTACTGATTTCTCACCTGGGGTCAATTAGTAACCTTGAATACTACCTGGTTCTAATGAAACGCATCTACTTAATTTCGAGATTTTGTTCCTAACTTGTTCGAACAATTTTATCAAAGATTTAATTCAAAATACATTAAATAATTGTACGATTTATGGATTAAAAAATCATCTTGAATGTTAAATAAAAACTCAAATAAATCAATTTAATGAAATGAAGTCCCTAAACTCACTCCGTTAATTCTTTTTCATTTCGTACAATGTTTCCGTTATGTTTATGTAAATAAGTCTTTTAATAAACATAAAAAATACACTGCACTTATGGTAAGTGCACTTTCGGGTCATCGGGTTTTCTACGTAAAAGACTAAAACGGACAAAATTTATTCTAGGAAACAATTTCATTGATCGTAGAAACGGATGAAATAGTTCTAACATTCTAAACTATGAAAATTAGCTCGCAATATTTTACTATCTTACTATAAAAATAAAACAAAAGGAGTCGTCTGATCCGCCGTGACCATGCAAGACTAATAAATACACCGAATCAAAGTTAGGTCTTGTTTATCTAATTTTAAATTGGTTGCGGACTTTCAAAATACCGCCCTTCGAATATGCCTATAATGAGATTACCGGGTCAATGTAAAATGATTTTAAGGTTTAATAATTCATTTGCCGAATTTAACCTATTTTTTGTTATTATTAGAAACAGCACACACAGAGTTTAATAGCAATGATTTATAATTATTAAGTCGGAAAAGCCGCATTTCACTCTTTTAATATTTGTTAATTAATTTTTCTGTTTGTATTGTAAAGAAGAAAGTATTTAACCATTCAATGTTCGTTAATAAATACGAGGTTTTAAGTATCTGTAATGTAAAATACTTACATGCACATAAGTCAGAGCTTAGCGTAAACGTACATATGCAGTTGTAGCAGATTCATATTCTCATGACACAGTTTACATGAAGTAATGCAGATCGTCATTATTTTAATTATTATCTAGATTTCTATTCAGAAAATTTAATTTTCTTGAACTGTTTCGTTCTTGATAGATCTATCATGTTATATTTATTAATTTTGTTAAAGCCGCTTTCTTTAAACCTTCTTTCGGCCAGTCTTCTACTTTTATTATTTTCTTAGATATTAATATTTAATTGCGATTTTTGGATACATCGCAGATTGTAAGCTTTAGACATTAAATATAAATATTTAATTTATTGCGTAAATTTCTTTCGTGAAATATCTTGGTACTTGTAGATTAATTTATTAGATAGAAAATGAAAATGTATATTTTTCATAAAAAATAAATCTGTTTATAGAGTTTTAAAATTGACACACTTTAGAAGGAATAAAAAAAAATACAGTCTCCATTTCATACAAATCCATTTAATCACTGTCATTTTTTTAAATATATATAATTAAACAACTTTTGTAAAATTAATACAGAGATTTCAGGTTCTTTTTACAATAAGTAAATGTACTTTATAGTTTAGATTTGAAGCTCTGCGAGTATTTACATTAAAATATAATCTAATTCAAATAATCTTTAATCTTTAAATTTTATTTAAAATAATCTTTTCGTCTTGTCAAAAAACGTTCCGCATTTTGAACAATCCTATCAGGTTTTGCGTTTATCCTATCGTGTAGATCGTTTATCAGTTCTATCGTGTTTTGCGTGTATCGTGTTTTGCGTTTATCGTGTTTTGCGTTTATCCTATCGTGCGTGTATCCTGTCCTATCGTGCGTGTATCCTATCGTATCGTGCGTGTATCCTATCGTATCGTGCGTGTATCCTATCGTATCGTGTATCCTGTAAAGAATAACGATGCGGGTACTGTACTAACATTAATTCTGTAATCTGTGACTCTCCCCCCACACCCCTCACTGATTGAGGATCATACTAACATTAATTCTGTAATCTGTGACTCTCCCCCCACACCCCTCACTGATTGAGGGTCATACTTACATTAATTCTGTAATCTGTGACTCTCCCCCCACACCCCTCACTGATTGAGGGTCATACTAACATTAATTCTGTAATCTGTGACTCTCCCCCACACCCCTCACTGATTGAGGGTCATACTAACATTAATTCTGTAATCTGTGACTCTCCCCCCACACCCCTCACTGATTGAGGGTCATACTAACATTAATTCTGTAATCTGTGACTCTCCCCCCACACCCCTCACTGATTGAGGGTCATACTAACATTAATTCTGTAATCTGTGACTCTCCCCCCACACCCCTCACTGATTGAGGGTCATACTAACATTAATTCTGTAATCTGTGACTCTCCCCCCACACCCCTCACTGATTGAGGGTCATACTAACATTAATTCTGTAATCGGTGACTCTCCCCCCACACCCCTCACTGATTGAGGGTTATACTAACATTAATTCTGTAATCTGTGACTCTCCCCCCACACCCCTCACTGATTGAGGGTCATACTAACATTAATTCTGTAATCTGTGACTCTCCCCCCACACCCCTCACTGATTGAGGGTCATACTAACATTAATTCTGTAATCTGTGACTCTCCCCCCACACCCCTCACTGATTGAGGGTCATACTAACATTAATTCTGTAATCTGTGACTCTCCCCCCACACCCCTCACTGATTGAGGGTCATACTAACATTAATTCTATAATCTGTGACTCTCCCCCCCAAACCCCTTGCTGATTGAGGGTCTTACTAACATTAATTCTGTAATCGGTGACTCTCCCCCAACACCCCTCACTGATTGAGGGTCATACTAACATTAATTCTGTAATCTGTGACTCTCCCCCCACACCCCTCAGTGATTGAGAGTCATACTAACATTAATTCTGTAATCGGTGACTCTCCCCCCACACCCCTCACTGATTGAGGGTCATACTAACATTAATTCTGTAATCTGTGACTCTCCCCCCACACCCCTCACTGATTGAGGGTCATACTAACATTAATTCTGTAATCTGTGACTCTCCCCCCACACCCCTCACTGATTGAGGGTCATACTAACATTAATTCTGTAATCTGTGACTCTCCCCCCACACCCCTCACTGATTGAGGGCGGGTCCTCCAGTAGTGAGCGCGCCGTGTTGATGGAGTGGATAAAGATCTCCCCCCCGTGGCTGGCCAGCATGTGGGAGATGACCTTGGTCCCGGACTTACGTGGCTGCTCCAACATTACAGCTCGACCTGGCAATCAGAAAAAAAGTTCATTCAATTCTTGATGCATAAGGCGTTTATGTAGAATTGTGGTATAAAATATCATTAAAATAAAGAAAGATGAAAGAGAGTAGAGAGAGAGAGTGAGAAAAAATAAAGATTGAGAGCGAGAAGAGAGAATAGAGAGAAAAAAAATACTAAAGAAAATGGAGAGAAAAACTGAGATGGAAAGAAAAAGTAAGAAGGAAGAAAGAAAAAAGAAACAGATGAGAAGAAGAAGAAGGGAGAAGAGAAAAACAGAGATGGAGACAAGAAAAAGTAGAAAGAGGGGAAGGAAAATTAGAAATGTGAAGGAAAAAAGAGAGAAGTATAGCGAAGAGAGAAAATTCAAGAGAGAGAGAGAGAGAGAGAGAGAGAGAGATGAGAAGATTGAGGACAAAGAAGAGAGAGAGATAACGCACCACTGAGGAGGAAGTTAGTGAGACAGGAGGACGGCCGACTGTTGACGTCCACCGGGGTGATCCGTGCCGCACACGTACAGTACTGGAGCTCTGTCATAAACAGAAAAAAGATTAACCGCACACGTACAGTACTGGAGCTCTGTCATAAACAGTAAAAGATTAACCGTACACGTACAGTACTGGAGCTCTGTCATAAACAGTAAAAGATTAACCGTACACGTACAGTACTGGAGCTCTGTCATAAACAGAAAAAGATTAACCGCACACGTACAGTACTGGAGCTCTGTCATAAACAGTAAAAGATTAACCACACACGTACAGTACTGGAGCTCTGTCATAAACAGAAAAAGATTAACCGCACAAGTACAGTACTGGAGCTCTGTCATAAAAAGAAAAAGATTAACCGCTCACGTACAGTACTGGAGCTCTGTCATAAACAGTAAAAGATTAACCGTACACGTACAGTACTGGAGCTCTGTCATAAACAGTAAAAGATTAACCGTACACGTACAGTACTGGAGCTCTGTCATAAACAGTAAAAGATTAACCCACACACGTACAGTACTGGAGCTCTTTACTTAACAGTATATGAATAACAGTTAACGTACATTACTGGTGCTCTCTCACTAACAGAAAAAGATTAACCGCACACGTACAGTACTGGAGCTCTGTCATAAACAGAACAAAGATTAACCGCACACGTACAGTACTGGAGCTCTGTCATAAACAGAAAAAGATTAACCACACACGTATAAACAGTAAAAGATTAACCACACACGTACAGTACTGGAGCTCTGTCATAAACAGTAAAAGATTAACCACACACGTACAGTACTGGAGCTCTGTCATAAACAGTAAAAGATTAACCACACACGTACAGTACTGGAGCTCTGTCATAAACAGAAAAAGATTAACCACACGTACAGTACTGGAGCTCTGTCATAAACAGGAAAAGACTGGAGCTCTGTCATAAACAGTAAAAGATTAACCACACACGTACAGTACAGTAAAAGATTAACCTCACACGTACAGTACTGGAGCTCTGTCATAAACAGAAAAAGATTAACCGCACACGTACAGTACTGGAGCTCTGTCATAAACAGTAAAAGATTAACCTCACACGTACAGTACTGGAGCTCTGTCATAAACAGAAAAGATTAACCGCACACGTACAGTACTGGAGCTCTGTCGTAAACAGAAAAAGATTAACCGCTCACGTACAGTACTGGAGCTCTGTCATAAACAGAAAAAGATTAACCGCACACGTACAGTACTGGAGCTCTGTCATAAACAGTAAAAGATTAACCGCACACGTACAGTACTGGAGCTCTGTCATAAACAGAAAAAGATTACACGTACTCACACGTACAGTACTGGAGCTCTGTCATAAACAGAAAAAGATTAACCGCACACGTACAGTACTGGAGCTCTGTCATAAACAGAAAAAGATTAACCGCACACGTACAGTTACTGGAGCTCTGTCATAAACAGAAAAAGATTAACCACACACGTACAGTACTGGAGCTCTGTCATAAACAGTAAAAGATTAACCACACACGTACAGTACTGGAGCTCTGTCATAAACAGAAAAAGATTAACCGCACACGTACAGTACTGGAGCTCTGTCATAAACAGAAAAAGATAAACCGCACACGTACAGTACTGGAGCTCTGTCATAAACAGAAAAAGATTAACCACACACGTACAGTACTGGAGCTCTGTCATAAACAGAAAAAGATTAACCACACATGTACAGTACTGGAGCTCTGTCATAAACAGTAAAAGATTAACCGTACACGTACAGTACTGGAGCTCTGTCATAAACAGAAAAAGATTAACCGCACACGTACAGTACTGGAGCTCTGTCATAAACAGAAAAAGATTAACCGCACACGTACAGTACTGGAGCTCTGTCATAAACAGAAAAAGATTAACCGCACACGTACAGTACTGGAGCTCTGTCATAAACAGAAAAAGATTAACCACACACGTACAGTACTGGAGATCTGTCATAAACAGAAAAAGATTAACCACACACGTACAGTACTGGAGCTCTGTCATAAACAGAAAAAGATTAACCACACACGTACAGTACTGGAGCTCTGTCATAAACAGAAAAAGATTAACCACACACGTACAGTACTGGAGCTCTGTCATAAACAGAAAAAGATTAACCGCACACGTACAGTACTGGAGCTCTGTCATAAACAGAAAAAGATTAACCCCACACGTACAGTACTGGAGCTCTGTCATAAACAGAAAAAGATTAACCACACACGTACAGTACTGGAGCTCTGTCATAAACAGAAAAAGATTAACCGTACACGTACAGTACTGGAGCTCTGTCATAAACAGAAAAAGATTAACCACACACGTACAGTACTGGAGCTCTGTCATAAACAGAATAAGATTTACCACACATGTACAGTACTGGAGCTCTGTCATAAACAGTAAAAGATTAACCACACACGTACAGTACTGGAGCTCTGTCATAAACAGTAAAAGATTAACCGCACACGTACAGTACTGGAGCTCTGTCATAAACAGAAAAAGATTAACCGCACACGTACAGTACTGGAGCTCTGTCATAAACAGAAAAAGATTAACCGCACACGTACAGTACTGGAGCTCTGTCATAAACAGAAAAAGATTAACCGCACACGTACAGTACTGGAGCTCTGTCATAAACAGAAAAAGATTAACCGCACACGTACAGTACTGGAGCTCTGTCATAAACAGAACAAAGATTAACCGCACACGTACAGTACTGGAGCTCTGTCATAAACAGAAAAAGATTAACCACACACGTACAGTACTGGAGCTCTGTCATAAACAGAACAAGAGGCCCATGGGCCACACGTACAGTACTGGAACAGAAGAGGCTTAACCACACACGTACAGTACTGGAGCTCTGTCATCTTGTTAACCACACACGTACAACTGGAGTCATAAAGATTAACCACACACGTACAGTACTGGAGCTCTGTCATAAACAGAAAAAGATTAACCACGTACAGTACTGGAGCTCTGTCATAAACAGAAAAAGATTAACCGCACACGTACAGTACTGGAGCTCTGTCATAAACAGAAAAAGATTAACCACACACGTACAGTACTGGAGCTCTGTCATAAACAGTAAAAGATTAACCACACACTTACAGTACTGGAGCTCTGTCATAAACAGTAAAAGATTAACCGCACACGTACAGTACTGGAGCTCTGTCATTAACAGTAAAAGATTAACCGCACACGTACAGTACTGGAGCTCTGTCATAAACAGTAAAAGATTAACCTCACACGTACAGTACTGGAGCTCTGTCATAAACAGAAAAAGATTAACCGCACACGTACAGTACTGGAGCTCTGTCATAAACAGTAAAAGATTAACCACACACGTACAGTACCACACACTGGAGCTCTGTCATAAACAGAAAAATATTAACCACACACGTACAGTACTGGAGCTCTGTCATAAACAGTAAAAGATTAACCGCACACGTACAGTACTGGAGCTCTGTCATAAACAGTAAAAGATTCACCACACACGTACAGTACTGGAGCTCTGTCATAAACAGTAAAAGATTAACCGCACACGTACAGTACTGGAGCTCTGTCATAAACAGTAAAAGATTTTGCCCACTCGTTCTGTACTGGAGCTCTGTCATAAACAGTAAAAGATTAACCACACACGTACAGTACTGGAGCTCAGTGGAGCTCATAAACAGTAAAAGATTAACCACACACGTACAGTACTGGAGCACGGTCATAAACTGTATAAGATTAACCACACACGTACAGTACTGGAGCTCTGTCATAAACAGTAAAAGATTAACCACACACGTACAGTACTGGAGCTCTGTCATAAACAGTAAAAGATTAACCACACACGTACAGTACTGGAGCTCTGTCATAAACAGTAAAAGATTAACCACACACGTACAGTACTGGAGCTCTGTCATAAACAGTAAAAGATTGTACAAACAGTAAAAGATATAACCCACACACGTACAGTACACGTACAGTGGAGCTCTGTCATAAACAGAAAAAGATTAACCGCACACGTACAGTACTGGAGCTCTGTCATAAACAGTAAAAGATTAACCTCACACGTACGGTACTGGACCTCTGTCATAAACAGAAAAAGATTAACCGCACACGTACGGTACTGGAGCTCTGTCATAAACAGAAAAAGATTAACCGCACACGTACAGTACTGGAGCTCTGACATAAACAGAAAAAGATTAACCGCACACGTACAGTACTGGAGCTCTGTCATAAACAGAAAAAGATTAACCGTACACGTACAGTACTGGAGCTCTGTCATAAACAGAAAAAGATTAACCGCACACGTACAGTACTGGAGCTCTGTCATAAACAGAAAAAGATTAACCACACACGTACAGTACTGGAGCTCTGTCATAAACAGTAAAAGATTAACCTCACACGTACAGTACTGGAGCTCTGTCATAAACAGAAAAAGATTAACAGCACACGTACAGTACTGGAGCTCTGTCATAAACAGAAAAAGATTAACCGCACACGTACAGTACTGGAGCTCTGTCATAAACAGTAAAAGATTAACCACACACGTACAGTACTGGAGCTCTGTCATAAACAGTAAAAGATTAACCGTACACGTACAGTACTGGAGCTCTGTCATAAACAGTAAAAGATTAACCGTACACGTACAGTACTGGAGCTCTGTCATAAACAGAAAAAGATTAAGCGCTCACGTACAGTACTGGAGCTCTGTCATAAACAGTAAAAGATTAACCGCACACTTACAGTACTGGAGCTCTGTCATAAACAGTAAAAGATTAACCGCACACGTACAGTACTGGAGCTCTGTCATAAACAGAAAAAGATTAACCGCACACGTACAGTACTGGAGCTCTGTCATAAACAGTAAAAGATTAACCTCACACGTACAGTACTGGAGCTCTGTCATAAACAGAAAAAGATTAACCTCACACGTACAGTACTGGAGCTCTGTCATAAACAGAAAAAGATTAACCGCACACGTACAGTACTGGAGCTCTGTCATAAACAGTAAAAGATTAACCGTACACGTACAGTACTGGAGCTCTGTCATAAACAGTAAAAGATTAACCTCACACGTACAGTACTGGAGCTCTGTCATAAACAGAAAAAGATTAACCGCACACGTACAGTACTGGAGCTCTGTCATAAACAGTAAAAGATTAACCACACACGTACAGTACTGGAGCTCTGTCATAAACAGAAAAAGATTAACCGCACACGTACAGTACTGGAGCTCTGTCATAAACAGTAAAAGATTAACCACACACGTACAGTACTGGAGCTCTGTCATAAACAGTAAAAGATTAACCACACACGTACAGTACTGGAGCTCTGTCATAAACAGTAAAAGATTAACCGCACACGTACAGTACTGGAGCTCTGTCATAAACAGTAAAAGATTAACCGCACACGAACAGTAAGTGGAGCTCTGTCATAAACAGAAAAAGATTAACCTCATGCGTACAGTACTGGAGCTCTGTCATAAACAGAAAAAGATTAACCGCACAGGTACAGTACTGGAGCTCTGTCATAAACAGTAAAAGATTAACCTCACACGTACAGTACTGGAGCTCTGTCATAAACAGAAAAAGATTAACCGCACACGTACAGTACTGGACCTCTGTCATAAACAGAAAAAGATTAACCGCACACGTACAGTACTGGAGCTCTGACATAAACAGAAAAAGATTAACCGCACACGTACAGTACTGGAGCTCTGTCATAAACAGTAAAAGATTAACCGCACACGTACAGTACTGGAGCTCTGTCATAAACAGAAAAAGATTAACCGCACACGTACAGTACTGGAGCTCTGTCATAAACAGAAAAAGATTAACCGCACACGTACAGTACTGGAGCTCTGTCATAAACAGAAAAAGATTAACCTCACACGTACAGTACTGGAGCTCTGTCATAAACAGTAAAAGATTAACCGCACACGTACAGTACTGGAGCTCTGTCATAAACAGAAAAAGATTAACCGCACACGTACAGTACTGGAGCTCTGTCATAAACAGAAAAAGATTAACCGCACACGTACAGTACTGGAGCTCTGTCATAAACAGTAAAAGATTAACCACACACGTACAGTACTGGAGCTCTGTCATAAACAGTAGAAGATTAACCGCACACTTACAGTACTGGAGCTCTGTCATAAACAGTAAAAGATTAACCGCACATGTACAGTACTGGAGCTCTGTCATAAACAGAAAAAGATTAACCGCACACGTACAGTACTGGAGCTCTGTCATAAACAGAAAAAGATTAACCTCACACGTACAGTACTGGAGCTCTGTCATAAACAGAAAAAGATTAACCGCACACGTACAGTACTGGAGCTCTGTCATAAACAGTAAAAGATTAACCGTACACGTACAGTACTGGAGCTCTGTCATAAACAGAACAAAGATTAACCGCACACGTACAGTACTGGAGCTCTGTCATAAACAGTAAAAGATTAACCTACACGTACAGTACTGGAGCTCTGTCATAAACAGTAAAAGATTAACCACACACGTACAGTACTGGAGCTCTGTCATAAACAGAAAAAGATTAACCACACACGTACAGTACTGGAGCTCTGTCATAAACAGTAAAAGATTAACCGCACACGTACAGTACTGGAGCTCTGTCATAAACAGTAAAAGATTAACCGTACACGTACAGTACTGGAGCTCTGTCATAAACAGTAAAAGATTAACCGCACACGTACAGTACTGGAGCTCTGTCATAAACAGTAAAAGATTAACCGCACACGTACAGTACTGGAGCTCTGTCATAAACAGTAAAAGATTAACCGTACACGTACAGTACTGGAGCTCTGTCATAAACAGTAAAAGATTAACCACACACGTACAGTACTGGAGCTCTGTCATAAACAGTAAAAGATTAACCGCACACGTACAGTACTGGAGCTCTGTCATAAACAGTAAAAGATTAACCGCACACGTACAGTACTGGAGCTCTGTCATAAACAGTAAGAGATTAACCGCACACGTACAGTACTGGAGCTCTGTCATAAACAGAAAAAGATTAACCTCATGCGTACAGTACTGGAGCTCTGTCATAAACAGAAAAAGATTAACCGCACACGTACAGTACTGGAGCTCTGTCATAAACAGAAAAAGATTAACCGCACACGTACAGTACTGGAGCTCTGTCATAAACAGTAAAAGATTAACCTCACACGTACAGTACTGGACCTCTGTCATAAACAGAAAAAGATTAACCGCACACGTACAGTACTGGAGCTCTGTCATAAACAGTAAAAGATTAACCGCACACGTACAGTACTGGAGCTCTGACATAAACAGAAAAAGATTAACCGCACACGTACAGTACTGGAGCTCTGTCATAAACAGAAAAAGATTAACCGCACACGTACAGTACTGGAGCTCTGTCATAAACAGAAAAAGATTAACCGCACACGTACAGTACTGGAGCTCTGTCAAAAACAGAAAAAGATTAACCGCACACGTACAGTACTGGAGCTCTGTCATAAACAGTAAAAGATTAACCTCACACGTACAGTACTGGAGCTCTGTCATAAACAGTAAAAGATTAACCGCACACGTACAGTACTGGAGCTCTGTCATAAACAGAAAAAGATTAACCGCACACGTACAGTACTGGAGCTCTGTCATAAACAGTAAAAGATTAACCGCACACGTACAGTACTGGAGCTCTGTCATAAACAGTAAAAGATTAACCGCACACTTACAGTACTGGAGCTCTGTCATAAACAGAAAAAGATGAACTCCCTTTGTCTATACACTAAATCTAGTCTTCATTATGACAGCTACATAAGGGGTACACATACCTACAACATTAGATTTGGGGTATAAATATATATACATACCTCCTACATTAGAGGTGTATACATACCTACAACATTGGACTTAGGGGTACACATACCTACAACATTGGACTTAGGGGTATATATATATACACACCTCCTACATTAAGGGTGTATACTTACCTACAACATTGGACTTAGGGGTATATATATACACACCTCCTACATTATGGGTGTATACATACCTACAACATTGGACTTAGGGGTACATATATACACACCTCCTACATTAAGGGTGTATACATACCTACAACATTGGACTTAGGGGTATATATATATACACACCTCCTACATTATGGGTGTATACATACCTACAACATTGGACTTAGGGGTATATATATACACATCTCCTACATTAGGGGTGTATACATACCTACAACATTGGACTTAGGGGTACACATACCTACAACATTGGACTTCGGGGTACACATACCTACAACATTAGACTTAGGGGTACATATACCTACAACATTGGACTTCGGGGTACACATACCTACAACATTGGACTTCGGGGTACACATACCTACAACATTGGACTTCGGGGTACACATACCTACAACATTGGATTTTTGGGTACACATACCTACAACATTGGACTTCGGGGTACACATACCTCCTACATTAGGGGTGTACACATACAACATTGGACTTTGGGGTACACATACCTACAACATTGGACTTTGGGGTACACATACCTACAACATTGGACTTCGGGGTACACATACCTACAACATTGGACTTAGGGGTACACATACCTACAACATTGGACTTAGGGGTACACATACCTACAACATTGGACTTCGGGGTACACATACCTACAACATTGGACTTTGGGGTACACATACCTACAACATTGGACTTTGGGGTACACATACCTACAACATTGGACTTTGGGGTACACATACCTACAACATTGGACTTAGGGGTACACCACTTTAGGGTGACTGTTTCTGTAGGGAGCCCTTCCTTAGATGGAATCACCAAACCATCACTGTGAGCTGTCAGAAAGAAAAACAGGATTTGTATTCATAAAAAATTTAATTAAGCCATTGTACTTATATTGTTTATTTTATTTACTGACATTGGTATTTAAGTCAAATAAAATTGTATTACTCTTTTATATAAATTGAATTTTTTGTTACAAAATCTGAGCTTTTTATAAATTTTGCTTCTAAATATGCATATTAATCATGTCAAAAATGATTGATGGATGATGGACATTCAACTGTCTTAATATTGAGGAATCTCCGATTAGCTGTAAACTGCAAAAAGATTTATTACGTGGTATGACATAAATAAACTTTGAGAGCCATAAAGGCAACCATACAATTATAACCATGCATGTAATAACCATTTTTGTTGCACGGATATTGCTACCTAACTGATTTCAATAACTATATTAATGGACAGTTTTTACGTCAATCAAGAAATTCTGAAAGCGGGGACAAGTAATACAAGCAGTGTATCAATCTAATATCTTATGATGGTTCCAGCATTCAATCATCATTTCTTTTCATGAAAACCTGAAGTGATATATGAAATAACATAACGTCAATTATCAGATTACCTTTCGTCAGAACAGCTGATCCATACAACAATGCGCATTCATTGTTACCAGCTAATATTAAAACTGTCCTTTGTAAAATATTGCCTAATATAGGGAAAAAATATTTCACATACAATGTTTGGTTGAAAACTTTATCTTTTATGTATTTTGCAGATATAATAAAAACTAACAAGGCAAGTCATTTTTCCTTTTACTATACAAGAATATAAGAAAACTTCAATATGAATCTAAAACTTGAAGGCAGCTGGGTATGAGATGCCTTGCATGATACATGTATCAGTATTCAAAGACTCACATTACATGAAATACTTTGTAAGTATAAAATGAGACTCGATCAATTCGTACTCAACAAGACTCTTCTAGGAATAAGAACACAAAAATGGTTGTTTGAAAATCACATCTATGCAACCTCAAACAATGGGAGACCCTACACACCTCAAATATACATACATGAAATACTAAACACTCACCGGACTTCATGATATCATCGTGGGCTTGTGAAGGGTGCAATAATTCTACATCATAATTCGCTGAAGAGCTGGCATTTTGTTCTTCCTGTTATAGTTTTAAAAAAGTTCATTTACACTCACTAATAAAGTTCACTTGGCAAAATTTACAATCCAGTAGAATTATCAAGAAATCAACTCACATAAAGTTCAATGCGTTATCACATAGATAATAGAAATGGTAATATTAGATATATAAATACTGTAATTATCATACCTTCATGGGAATGCCGGTAACTGTTGTGGAGGACAGACCATAGTGGAACTGGACCAGTTGTATCAACTTATTGTACAGGAACTTAGCGGACTGTGTTACATGGACCTCTCCAAACAATAGAGGAGATATCTACAAGTTAACAAAAACAAATATATAACAGTTTCTTCTACTGGAACTTGGCTGATTGTGTCACCTGGATCTCTCCTTATACGAGGGTTGTTCGTAAAGTTCGTGGACAACATTGATAATTACTGACACACATTGACAAAATATACGGAACTATCATTTTCATTCAATTCGTGTTTCATTATATAAATATGCAAGTTTTCAACAAAAACAAAGCACAAATAGTTACACTTTTATGAGATACAAAAAAGACACACATTCATATCCGGAGCACTAAAACGAAAATTCTTGACGTTACCCGACGTCAAAAGCTAATACGAGTACAAAAAAGTCATGTAACTTTTCTCAACAAAGTCACCGTTTAACTCAATGCATTTCTTATGTCTCAATAAATTTCTTAAGGTTGATCAAGAGAATTAACATGGATTTTAGCATCATACATGTATAAATAAAGCGAGTAATTTAATTTTGTGTTTACGCGACAATTCCTCGCATATAATCAGGAATCTACAGTAGCAGATTGTAGTCTAAGAGTAGTTTCAACTGAAATTAAAAATTTAAGTTTGTTGTACAGCATGTTTTATCACACAGACTTCTCAATACAATATCAGTAACTGATTAACAGGTGATTAACAGACTAACTCTAAGAATTATGATTTATAGACTAAAGGGTTTCCACTGAGGTATTAAAGAACCACGAACGATAGTATTGTTCTTCCGCCTAGCTCTAAGTCAATTTTCAAAAGTTATCATATTTGAATGATTTTCAGAATTTTTATAGATATTTATAGGAATTTTCATAAAACGTTACTTTTTTGGGATACCAAAGAAAGATAACTCTATAATTATGGTAAGACTTGAGTATTTCACTACAGAAATCAATGGAAAACGGAAAATATTTTTAAAACATCTTTCCCCCCCATGAAACAAAAATTCCTTTTTACAGGTAATATAGACTGTCATTTTACAAATTTATGCCAAAGCTTTTTGTGTTTCACGGGGGGGAACATATGTTTATAGACAAAAAACGAAAAAAAGTTGATTTTTCACCAATTCTAAAGCTATTTACAACTAAATAATTGTATTTTAATAATTTATATATGTTTTATTTATTTGTGTAAAGCATAAGAAAAGATATGAAATACATTTAATCATATTCAAGACTATTTCAAAATATAGTAATTCTTGAAAGTTCGATTTCACTAGAAAATATCGTCTACCCCCCTTTTTTCAGAGCTGAAATTAACGATCATTTACTATCTAGAGCTGGAATTAAAATGATTAATCAACTAGAAAACTGACCAGTCAGCAAGGGCCCCGCCATGGGTAGAATTAAAAGGGTGCAGCTTACAGAATGATTAATAAATGTACAAAGAAAAAGCAACAGCAACTGTATTCTTAAAATTTCAACATAATTCCTGAATATTCAAAAATCTGAAAATAATATTCTTGTATTTACATTAGGCAGTAAAGAACAACTTAACATTGAATTTATATTTAAACAATTATGAATCTTGTGTTATATAAAATGCCAGCCTTCAATGAATGCAAATATCATGAAGGCTTGACCTTAACTTCAATCAAACAGCAGTTGCAGACAAAGGTTTTCATTAATCTTAAAGTGACAGATAAAGAGAAGCCTACTAAATTTTCTGCAGCAGGCTAGATAATTAATCCCAAGGGATTAATTGTACCTCTCTCATCATTTTTTTCTAAAGTTACAATAAGAACTTTTTCAGTATTAATGATATTTCATTCATTTATTCTCTCAAAAAACCATACAATGGTACAAGAGGTACATATATACATATTTACAATAATTATGGACGAGCAGAGATTACAGGAGGACAGACAGTGTCAAAAATCTTTGTAATAAATATACACAATTTTCGTAAAAATGCTGGATCTGTACTTGTCATCAAATTACAGAATTTTATTGTATTTGGGTGAACATAGTATTTCTGCAACAAAAAATCTTTTCGAATCTTATATAATGCATTACATTCCAGTAAATAATGGAATTCGTCTCCTATCTGGTTATTATTACATAGATTGCACTTTCTTTCATTTCTTTCAACATTATTCCATCTACCCATCTCTATCGGAAGACGATGGTTACTTGTCCTGAATTTTGAAAAGATATTTCTAAATTTTCTTGGTAAAATAGTTAAATATTTTTCACATTCAAACTTTGTTTTAAAAATTCTATATGTAATACCTTTACTGGAATTATTCAAATCACTATACCATTTCTGTAAAAACTGATCTTTGAGCTTTTGGTTAATTGTGGTTGCAATCCATTTAACACTATGAAAATTTTGATTAGTCCAAATATTACAGAGACCCGTTGTATTAAGAATATTATGTATGAAAGATATCCATGGATTACTAATCCCATTTTTAGTGTATTTATTATAAAGATGTAAATAAATAATTCTACAGATCTTATTCTCATTCCATGTATCATTTTAGAATGATAGAATGGGGTTTTTATACAACTACATTAAAAATTAAAAACAATCTTGAATTAATATATTTAAAAAAAAAAAAAAGAAAAAAGTGAAAAAAAAGTACCCTGGTAAATCAAAAAATCTTCTTTAATCTATTTCTTTTTTTAGGATTCAATGAAATCATAACTATAAAACAAAAATAAATAATAAAAATTTATATTTAAATCCACATTTCAGAGTGTTCATAGCATTCCAAATTGATTTAACTTCAAAACAAACTTCATTTGCAGACAGAGGTGGTAATTAATCTCAATGTGACAGATAAAGATAATGCTCTGGATTTTCTTCAGGAAGAAAGCTAATTAATCCCATGGGACTCCTAGCAGCATACAGTTTACTGAATGGAAACATCTTCAGCAGTTATCTCTCTTTGCCAATGCATTCTTATATAAAGTGAAGGAATCTACCCCACCACCCCAGCTCCAAACCAAGGGACATAGAGAACCAAACTTAGCATCAAAATATGTATTTTTGCCTACTGAACTACCGTACCAAATTTGATCTTAATTGGGCAACCATAAAAAAAGTTGACCGTTCATTCTTATGCATAGTTAAGGAATCTACCCCACCACCCCAGCTCCAAACTAGAAGACGTAGAGAATCAAACTTAGCATCAAAATATGTATTTCTGCCTATCAAACTACCATACCAAATTTAAACTTGATTGGGCAACCATAAAAAAAGTTATTAGAAAAAAACAGAAAATTTGTGGACGGAAGAGTGACAGACGGACAGACAGACAGACAGACAGACAGACGGACGGACGGACAGACAGAGTGATTACTATAGGGCACCCGCAAATCCTTGCGGGGCCCTAATTACCATAGAACTGTTCTTTGTACTAAACCAAGATTTAATGGCCAAATTGCCATTAAAATTGAATTTAAAGGTTGCAAAATGTAGGCGGGAATCAAGAGTTAGAGTACGTGGTTCATTATCATGTATATAATCCAAATTTAAGCAAAAATGGGAAACAAAAGTTAAATATTTGCCAGATTCTTTCTGTGAAATTGAAGTAAAGATAAAAGTTTACTTTTAATTATATTCTTTTAAAATTATTTGCTAGAAAAAAATCTCTCCTGGGTATAACCGTAAGAGAATATTTTTCTCCCACACATTAATACATCTTGCTTTGTGTGTTCTGAATGATAGTTCTGAGTGACATTTTGAATACTGCACCTCTCTGTTCTGTCTCTCTGTAATCTTGGTCTCATCTCCTACAGGTGTCACATGTACGAGAACCAGTTCACAATGGCTGATAGGAAGTAAGCTGTCAAATTAAAAAGGATGCATATTTATTTAATCATTGCAGGAAATATGGCAGTGGTGACATGTAGCTTAATCTCAGAAATATACTGAAAGGAAAAAGAAACGCAGGGTAGCATAATGTTCTAAAACATTTTGATCACATGACCGAAAATTACGAAAATTGGTCAGAAGAGAAATTTAGTTACTGTGCACCAAAATCAGCATTCAGAATTACTCAACCGTAAAATTTGTGTCGTCACGTAGGGAAAACGCTAAAAAGCCCAAGACACGTGCAATTTGATAACGACGAGTTTGTCAACTAATCTTGTTGCATTGTTTGATGCATATGAGGTATGCACATCTTTTTTCAATATTAAGAGACATTATGAATTTCTTGCAATCTGGGCACAGTTTACGGAAGTTCAATAAGGTCTTGTTTTTGAATTGCATAATTAATGAAAAAGGCAACAACGGTTTACTAAGCAGTTTCTTGTAAATTTTCCCCCACAAAACTTGTTACCCGTTGTCAGAGAGGGCCTGGAATGGTTTTCAATCAACCATGACGATGACGTTAACCAGGGTTCTCCATGAGCTGTTTTACTGTGTTGCTCCCGACACAGTAAAATTTTCTCCGACACAGTAACGATTCAAATTTCATGCATGCAACACAGTAAAAATTCTGCCAACACAGTAAGAGTTGTGATAATTAGAAAATTCAAAATTCACAAATTCTGTCTAACTGAAACTTTAATCAAACAATTCTACCGTTTTTCAATTCAAAAAGTTATAACACTTAATTACTAGGGCTTCACCTTGAGTAGTCAATCAATTATCTCGTAGACCCTCGCCGGAGTTTACGCATGACGGAACAAAGAGAAAGAAATTGTTTTCACAACTCAATGTACCGGTTAATTGGTAGCTGCAATAAAATACATTGTATTACTTATGAAAAATATTTAAATATGTCTTTCCTGTAGAACCACGGCTCTAGAATTATGTAAGCACTGTAAGTCAAACAATTTACATGACATCGTTCCGAAGTCATTTTATTGATGTAAATAAATTTGCCGAAAATTTTGAAATTTCAGCATGTTTACTGTTCTGAGTTTTTTTGTAATGCAGTAACTCGATCAAGAAACCTGATAAATAAACGCGGCAAATCTACTTTCACAAAAATGTTAAGTAGTTCGAATATCAGTCAGAATTTCCTCTGCTTTTCCGAACGTTTTTTCCCTTATATCAATACGTACGACCATACCATTTGTGTAACGAATTGGCGATATCTAAATAAGTGTGTGCTTATAATCTTTTGTAATTACATGTATGATGAATTTTGATTCAGTCACGAATTTGTTCGCGAAAATACCGCGAAATATTGGTGCTTTGCGTAAACTCTGCAACACAGTAAAATCTCAAATGATGGAGAACCTTGACGTTAACGCGAAACAGAGCCATGTTACGAACTGGTTATTCGTCCTGCCATCTCTTAAATCGCCACCTTACTTTGACCACAAAAGCAGCCATTTATACAGTAGATGATTATAATCATTACATTCATACGAAATTTGAAAGAAAACAATTCCGCAATTTGATTTTTTTAGCCAGTCAATTTACTGTTTTATTCCTCTCACTGGCGCATGCGCGCGCCGCTTGACCTATTTTGTTTGCGTGGTCACCCATGCTAAATATAGCCAGGGTCTGAAAGTTAAACACTCTAATGAAATTCTATGCAAAGGAGAAATAAGGCTCTGACAAATGCACGGGAGAGACATTGAGGATAATGAGAGTTTTCGATTTTCACTTTTGGGGGGTATCGTCATTTGAGCTTCAGTAACTCATGAATTATTGGACAAAATCAAATGGGAATTTTGTTACATGTTTTTGAAGGATGATTTTAAAAGTTAGATATAAAAACTAAAACATATTTTAAGAAAAACAAATTCAATTCACCTCAAAAGTTTACCCTGCGTTTCTTTTTCCTTTCAGTATAATACCGGTAGGTTAGATATAAATGATAAACAAAAAACTACAGCTCAAAGTTGCAATTTGAAAAAGGGAGATAACCTATCATTGAGAGATTGATGTATTTTGAGCAGTATCAATAAATTAGCAGTCAATCATATTACTGACACTTGTTTGGAATGTTATTCTTGTTTATAAATTGCAAATCATATTATCTGACACATATATACAGACAACGATATGGTCCAATTATCAGTGCTCCGACTTCAAATTCTGAATCAATAACCAAGAGGAATAATATTTCTTCATAGAGACATATTAACCTCTGTTTATAAAGTGACAAATGTTCAAGGACAATTCATCTGCATCACAATCCCATTACTGGGGTGGGATTCCAAGGTCCTAATATTTGTGTAAGAGACACCCAATCATTTCCTCCTTGATCATAAAAATCCCAAAAATAGCCAAACATATCAATATGTTTATTATAATGATTTTCTTTTATAATTCAAATAAAACTGATCTCTGTTAGAATATGGGGAGTTAAACTTATCCTTTGTAATTGTAAATGAGAAGATATGAAGGATTAGTGTAAATGACACCATAAATTCTGGAAGAGTGCTGGTAATTTTCACCTCTGTAATGATTTGGACAAATTTTCATGACTATGATTATTCCTGTACAATATAATTCTATACTGTTAATAGGGCTATGTATTGAGCCAAAAATTTCGATACGATACAATATTTTTTAAAGCGATATGCGATATATTGGATTCTAAAACAAGTCCATCAGAAAAGGCTTCTAAATCATTTTAATGCATACATTTGATAACAATTAAGTGTTTTATTACCCATGTTAAAGTTCTTGTCTCATTGTCTTTAAAATAACACTTCAATTAAAACTTTTGATGACAGTAAAATCAACATGTTCAAATAAATTTCTCTTTGCATTTTGTTATATTTAGAAAAAACTGTGTTATTTCCTTAGAAATTATATACCGCGGTAATTATTGAACGTTTTAATTCATAAAAGTCAAATGTAATCTTTGGTGATTGAAATTTCCATCTTTTAAACAGATTTTGAAGAAAAAATGTCTGTGCGATACGTATTGGAAGTTATTTTTCGATGCAATATTTTTCTTGAATATTGATACGTATTGATATATCGATATATTGATACAGCCCTAACTGTTAACCATTTAATATGTAGATTTCCTAACAGCACCATTCCATTTTATATGGATTTTAAAGTCGCTTAACCCGAAACAGGAACATTTTATCTTACACAATAAAAGTACGTCATTAATACATAGATAATATAGAAAAATAAATTATAAGATTGATTCAATAGTTTATTACAACAATCCTTACATGGAAAACGCAGATCAAAAACCTTATTGACAAAACAGTAGTTCCTGACGGAAGTTAAGATCTGTTGTGAAGTCAATTTTGAAAAAAATAAGTTTATATGTAATAATGAAGATAATTCAAACCCGAGTATTTTTTCTCTAGTAGAAGCCTTAGTCATAATACATCTTTTCAAAATTAAGAAATTAATTGAATATAATCCATAGTAATTTTTATATTAATATGCATATTTAAAGAATAGAGGAAAATCAGATATTTTAAAAATGATTTTTTTAAAGGAGCTAAATATTGTCTGTGTACAGGTAATATATGTACTTTGTTGTGAAATAAAATGCTCGGGTTTGTTCTTCATGAGATAAACATGTAAGCGATAAATTTAATTTTTCAAAGGTGATTTCACACGATATCAACAATGTGTCAATGATCAACATAGGATTATTTTTTGTGTGACCTAACAAAAATTATTTTTTTTACTTTTGAATTTTGATATTTTTTAAAGGAAAAAGACTTTGGGGAAATAATTTGAAAAAAGCTGAAACAATTTATGGACAATTATTTTTCAAGAAGAAAAACAAATATGTATTTTTAGCGATTAGAATCAGACCAAGCAGCTTTAATACAAACAAGATTTTTTTTTATTTTCAATTACCGTAAAATCTGGTGTGGTATTTTCTTAAAATAATTAAATTTTTTCTGTAAGCTTTCAATCTGCAATGAAACTTTAGGTCATGAATTTCAAAAACAATTCAAATCAATGGACATTATCAAGGCCAAAAGGCAACATGGCAAGGTTAACCCTCCTTCCTTTTCCATCTCAAAAAAAAAAATTCTAGTTTCTCCAGCGTCTTTTTTTTTCTCAACTGGAGACACAAATTCTATAATTAGCCTGCTTTTTAAAGCAATATGAGCTGCATTTTTGAGAATTTTATTTTTCTGGTAAAATGTGTTATTATGATTAATCTGTATTAAATTAAAACCCTTTTGATTAATAAAACAAAAATAAAGTTTAAAAATATTTCAGAAAAATATTTCTGTACAATCCAATATACAGTGTTATATAAGAAATCATTATTGTACAGGTCAACAATAATGCAATTTTGCTTCAATCAAAGCTTATAAAAAGTTCTTCCAAAGTATTGAACAACAGAAGTTTATAAATGTTCTATTTTACTGTCATTAAAAAAGTTGATTACAAATTTGCAACAAAATTTTCCGATGTCAAACATGCAGCTCATATTGCTTTAAGCAGACTTTAAGTAAAATACTAGTGAAAAGCATTTAATGGAATTTTGCTGAGGGTTCAACATTTACTTTCCCCCCCATTTCTGGAACAACTCTCCAAGGGAGACAAATTTGTAAGCAATTAGCTAAAAAGGAGAAGCTAATTGAGAACTAGATACAGTGGTCAGTTTAGTGACTTATGGAGCATCAGAATCTGATAATATTAATTTGACAGAGGGAATGAAGAGGGAACAAACTGTGTTATTACTCAATTACAGTCTGACGTTTTCCGCCAAATGTGTTTTTATCCGAAGATTTATGACCAAAGCCCTTCAATATATAAAATATATCTTCATGTAAAGCTCTCACATACTGGACAACGGTCAATAACCTCTGAAAGACTCCTTCAGCTCTCTATTTCTTCTATGCATGAATTTTATTTTAAATGGAAAATTTCTTTCAGTTTTTA